AAATGAATTTTTGAAAGAATTGAATGCATACTTCCTTATCACTGTGAAAACCAACTTGTCCGACATCCATTTCAGGGGTTTTTCTTAAATTACTCCACATTGTGTAAACAACATCAACTTCGTTCATCTTGCACCCTGAAATGCTGTTTGCTTTGACGAGTTGACCCGCATCTTCCAAGACAGCAGGAGAGATATCTTGCACTGTCTGTCCCTAAGTACAAAAAAATAACCTTAAGTAAATATCCTTTGCAGAAGAAGATACACCATAGGAGATCTTCCAGAATATTCATATAGAAGGTGACATATTTATAGCTGCAAGATACCTACTGGTGCGAGTCGTAGATAGACATGAGCTGATGAAAGCTGATCTACATGAAACCATACATCTTCTGGCCAGCCCCACTTTATAAGATCTTCATCTGTGTAGCAGAGACGCACATATAAGACTTCAAAATGAACAATCATTCAGAAGATACTGAAGGTGTTGAATAGATGGATCAACAATGACAGGGACTGAAGGAAAATTGAACTTACTCTCATACTTATCATTGCCCATGAACAGCGTGACAGGAGGGTTCTCCACTGAAAACAAAGTAAAGAGACATCGTACTCAAGTTTCGTCAGCTGCCAGCAATCTACTTAAAATTTGCCAGCGACCAACACATCTGGTCAAACCAGTGAAGACAGGTTAGGTTTACGTTGAACCATAACCCCTCTGCTGCAACAACTACTCACCATCGCTTTTAAAGTACACGACCATTTTGGCTTCCTCTTGGTGATCCGTCAACTTGACATGAAATACTTAATGGTTTCTGATCCAAGACACTTTGGTGGAGTGTGTCCGCGCGGGGAGCTCATGCAGCACATGCATAAAATCGGCACACACACAAGCTAAGCTACAAAGCCCGACTTACGGCTTGGCTTGGTTTCGCGATTGGCCGCTAGGATCGCAGGTGTAGAGGGGGAAGTGCCGAAGCCGGCCGGACCATTTGAACGACATCCAGTTACCATACTTAGAAATGTACCCGCCTTAAACTTGGATTTCAAATAATATAGTCACACCCGTGCCACTTTGATGTCTAGAGCATTTCTGTCGTACCATCTGGGTGGTGCTGGTGACCGGTGTGACAAAACAGGCGCGACACCCGGTTTGTGTCGAGGTTGATGACCTATGTCAAACCCACTAAGTTGTAGTAAGTTAAGTCGCGGATTGTCTGGCGGGTGACAAAGTGACGATACCTGCTATACTTGGATTTGTGTAGCCTTGAGCTGCACACACTGCTTTACTACTAAAGCGGTTAACACGTTGAGTGCGGCGGGGGTAGGCAATCCCATGTTATTGTGACCTACGGTGTGGGTCACGCCGCACTGAACGTGTTAAGAACCTGTAAACGCCACCCCCCCCTCTCCTCCCTGAACAATTGGATATCTTTCCTGAATTACGTCGTGATTTCATCTTAGGCAGATGCTATTTTGCCTACCCACCCGGAGTTAATAGGACCGCAGTCTCCCGCGGTGCCCAACGCCACGCCCCGCTTCAGTTCATATGGTGATAAGAGTTTGTCAGAATTACATCAAATGAAAGGACAAGACAAAATTTCAGTCGTCTTGACTGTGCGTTTCAAGGAGGGTGGCAAGGTGACGTCATCCCCGCCAGTCGAGTTGGCTGAAATGTTGACGTGACCTCACACCCTGATGTCATTTCGACAAATAAGTGACTCCGTCGTCCCCAGGTGTCACCCTCATGGTTATATCAGGTGCCGACGCTTAAATCTGCGCCGCAAGTTTGTTTGCCTGATTCGTTCTTTCATCACGACGAGGCATACGGCACAATCTCTTGTGTACACTCGCCGCCCCCCTTAAGTAACGCCGACGAGGAGAGGCGGGCCAGGTTCTGAGTGAGGAAGCGCCGTGTTTGGGCGGGAGGGAAGCTCAACGCAGCACAGCAGGTACGAGGGAGCGCGGTGTTTGGGCGGGAGGGAAGCCCCACGCGGCACAGCAGGTACGAAGGAGCGCGGTGTTTGGGCGGGAGGGAAGCCCCACGCGGCACAGCGGGTACGAGGAGGCAC